AAAACAAATATTTCATCATAATCACGTGTTATGACGTCCGATCTCACTAAAAACTGCATCAAACATTAATTCAATCTTTATGTGACTTATGTGCAAAAAAGATTTGCAATCGGATAAAACACATTTATGCACCAGCGTTCCAAAAGTGGAAGGTAGCAGTCAAGCGTGAGGGGGTCCAGCCACCTTAAATAAGCACGACAAACAACGAAGCTAGAAAGGTCTATTTCGGAAAATAAGAAGTTTGTTTTTAGTCGGCTGTCAATCAAACTGTTTAACTGTATTCCTACCATCTATAAGAAGAAATTTAGTTTTTTTTTAAGGCTTCAAAATGGTTGAATTCTTCTGGAAAACCATAGTTAATGGGAAAACGAAGCAAATATGAAATAGATACTGTATAAATAACAAAATGTTCACATAGGGAGAATTCAAGCACTTTAAAGCGCTAAGAGAAAACCCAAGATTTTTCGAGTTGCATGTGGTTTAAAGAATGCAGTTGACCAGTCTGATTAACCGCAAGACTAAAGCCATACTTTTATACTGCCAGAATATTTTGATGAGCGGGCTGCGCTTCAAAGAAAACAAGTGTCAAAGAAAAGCAAAACAATAAGCGTTCTGAGCTTTTAACTGTGACTTTACTCTTAGAGAAAACGACTTCTGTGTCCAAAATGAAAAGCAGCTCTATAAAGATTTTTCTTGTTTTTCTCCTGGTAGATTTGATGTCTATGCCAAGGTCAAGTTTCTCCTTCCATGGATAAAAGGAAAAATAATTACATAATTAAGGGGAAAACGATCTTATGATTAAGTAGATGTACCAATAATAAAGAAAATTGACCAAACGTTTTGTTCTAATATTAAGAGATAACTAGCCAAAACCTAGCGTGAGCTGCGTTGGTGTTTCTAATAAAACAGTAATGATAAGAAGGTAAATTATACACCGTAAAAAGATGAAAAAAACTTACTTTTAGTAAGGATTTTTTACCTTTTCACGGTGTATAATTTACCTTGTTAACATTACTGTTCTAATATTACTGAAATGTTATGCAATAAGAATCCCGCCACTTCCTTTGTTCAATTGGTAATAGCGTCTGTCTGTTGTGCGGGAGGTCGTGATTTAAGCCTCGACCGCACCAACACTCAGTGTGTTAAAATATTACAGGAGAAGGGCTGTCTTTTTAACGAGGTTAGCTAAAGTGCGAGTCTGCGAGTCCGAGCCTCTGTGTGCGAGCCACGAGCCTATTTTGCGAGCCTTCAGTTTAAGCATACAACTTTTGTATTTTTGAATTTTTTTTTTTTTTTGTAGAAGACTACTACCTGGTTCATATTCACATGGTGGATGCACGAACCCGGGAAATAAGTTGATAAGTTGAGTATGACGCCGTTTAAGGTAATTCCCTTGAAAGAAATTTTGCCAATAACTTTGTCCTGAAACTTTGCATGAACCTTAAATATGTTATGGACATTTAAAAACTGGAATAAAACGATGGGGTCACGATTCGCTTTTTTTCGCTAGATGCTCTCAAAATATGTCAATTTATGGGTTCTATAGTGAAATGCGGTAGCAACCGGAAGCTGTAATCAAGGACCTTTATTCACACTTAAAATATAACATATTCAAAATATAACAAAACGTACTTATAACTCGAAGTTTACTAGATAATCTATGCTATTAAATTCATCAAAGTCATTGGATGACTATGATTCTTGAACTATTAGTAAAAAATGCAGGTATGTGCGCCTCTACGAACGTCCAAAAATTGCACGTCAGCTATTTCCATCAAAATATTTCAAAATTTATCCAATAAACTTTCCTTCATATTTTGATATATAATGACGAGCATCGCATTTATCAAAATTCTGAAATAAAAAATGGGGGTCACCATTCTCGTTCAATTATCTTGAAAAAACAACTCAAAATAGTCGAAAACTGACACTTTTCCGAGTGGAGACTGGGGCGAGTCAGATAAAAATTACAATTTCTCTACTCAAAAAAGAGAAAAAAATGAAGATTGGTTTTGAACATGTTTCTTATTTAGTTTCCGAAAGAAAAATGCCTACACTTTGTTAGTTCCATGCTTTTAGTTGCATGCGCAGAAAAATGCGCAGTGCAAAACAAGGAAATTACCTTAAGTTACTGCTAACTTAAAAATGATCAAGAGTTTTACGTCCTGCTTAGTGAATAAAGTTGTTGCGCATTCATATTTATCTGGTTTGAACCTCTAAAACAAATTCCACCAGTGAAATTTTTGCCGAGGAAGGCTAGGTTCATGGTTTCTCTCAGCAGGGCTTTAAGCATGAGCGACTTTATGACAAAATTTAACACTTCATTCTGTTTGTTCCGCCCCTGGGGGTAATCTTTTCTCTAAATGTCGTCTTAGGCAGTAAATAATGGATTAATGAAGTGCATAATAAAATTGCAGAGTTCCACATGTACACTGCAGTGCGATTCATCGTTAAACTTCAGACTGAAATCGCAAAAAACAAGGGTCAGTTCCACAAATAAACTAATAATATAATTTGGTCATTAAAGGATTTTGATTTTTAAGACAAAAAATCCAATATTTTTAAGCAGATTTCTAACTAAATGAGAGTTTACTTTACTCACCTTTTCAGAGGCATCCTCAATCTTGAACTCTAGACCATAATATTCATGTTTTGGGGCGAAATTTTGTATTGGCACTAAAAAAGGCTCGCGGCTCGCATATCAAAGACTCGGGCTCGCAGACTCGCAATTTAGCAACCCCCTTGGTAACACGAGCCTGAGAGCAGGATCTACTGTGAAAATGAATTGCTAAATTAATAAATACAGTGATAGAACTACCAAGATGGGTAAAAAGGCTGTCATGAAATCAAAATTATCGAAAATATCCGTCTTGAAATTCAAATTCAAATTCAGCCGTATTGTTCCAGTTCGAGTTTCAGCATACGCAATTATGACGTAGACATCACGTGGTTTGCTGTTTAAACTGAGATTCACTTAAACTGCAGTTTGCTTTTTAAACTGATGTAGCGAGTCGCTAAATTTCTGCTAAATCTAAATGCATCATTCAAAAACGTAAGAGGAACTAATGACTAATTTTTGCAGGGACGGATCCAGGAATTTTAGAAGAGGGGTGACTAATTCTATCACATAAAGGTTGTACCAGGAATACGAGGAATAGGGATGTGACTGTTACTAACGATATGCTAAGAAATTTGAATAAAAGGGGGTGACTAGTCACCCCTTTTACCACTTCTGGATCCCCCTGTTTTGCTCAAGGCTTCTCTCAAAAATTAAGCAGATATGGACAAACACAAGTGAAATTTATCCCTAATTTCATGAGTTAACAATGTAATTAATAACCAATAGCCCCATTCACAGTTCCCTGCGCCATCTTGAAAGTTAGCCGTGCCTTTGCATCGCACCTTTTAACAATAATTCACATGTCTCTATCGTTCCAAGCTCACCGTTCGTCTCAATTAGATGTGTGTGGGGACTATTATAAACGACACAGAATTCTAGCAGTCATAAGCTTAATTTACTTTAAGTTTGTAGGAAAGAGGGCTTGAAACGAGCAAATGAGTCAAACAATCTCCAGAAATGAAAAGAGCACCTCAACTTTAGTAAGAGGGCGTAAGGGTAAGTTCCAGCTCGAAATCTTGACTATAGAATTAATGACATTAAATATAAGATCAGCGTTTGGAATCGTTACTAGCATGTATAACCAGAAAAAATATTGTAGATATTGAAAATTATTTTAACATATATTCAACATATGAACTAGATTTTGATGGAAAAATTGGGGAAAGGGGAAGGGGAAGTAAGCATTAAGCATTCTAGGATAGCCGTGAACTTAGCGAGCCTATTCAATGCCTTTTTTCCTCCTGAATGTTGTCTTAGGCTCAGTTCAAACGTCAAACTTCCCATTGGAATTATTAGCGGAGCCCGAAGGCCCGCGCGAGCGGAGCACCATACTTAAGAAAAGATGGTAAACCATCGAGTTGATTTTTCATGGTTTGGCTGACGTCACTTCCTTCCGTACGTCAGTCCGTCCGTCCGTGTACACGACACAGGAATCCTGCTTGATATCAAAGCAAAACTACTAACAAATGCGGCTCTCAAATGCACAGAAAAAATCGCTTTAGGACAAG